ACAATTTTATCAACAATCCAAACCCCTAGTCATAAACGTCCCCTTAGATCTCCCTCCATAATATCATAATATAAAAAATATCATAATATAAAAATCAGCGTTTAACCCAGCAAATTCAAAATCAAATAGAACCATGGCACAATTATTTCTTATTCTCCAGAGTTTAGCAAGCTTCTCTTATCAGTCTCACACGCAGTCTGGCAAACAATACAACAATCACAGAGTCTCAAACTGTCCAATAGTTGTCCTTGAAGCCCGTCTTATGATCTTTCCATTAACCCCTTGATGCTCCTCAGTCCAGTTGACCACGTCAGCTCCTCCTTTCTTCTCCAGAAAACAACCAGATTCTGTTATTAATAATTCACAGAGTCCAGGAAAAGGCAAAGAGAAATATTTCCCAGCCAAACTGCATTCACGAAACTCAAGTCTCTTAAAGACTGTCCGATGGCATTAGAACCGTCTGGGATTCTTTTCCAAATGCATCAGATTTATTTTTCCGTCTCTCTCTCTCGGCTTTGAAATCAGCCTGCTATATTAAGAGTTCACTTGGGGAGGAAAGTTAGTTTCGCTTTTGAGGCAGACTGATAAGATAGGCTCGCTGCTGCTTTTCTTCTTTCAGCCAAATATTTTCATTCTTATTTTCAGCTTAATGGGGCTGTTTCATCAAAGGCTTCAGCTTACTTAGTTGTTATATATTTTAAGCTTATATTGGTTGTTCTCCTCTCCCCGATAAAGGGGTACTCATGGCTCCATGCCAAATATGGCGCCCGCTCCGGTCTGTGCTGGGTGATTTCTTCAGAGGGAAGAAGTCCAGGTTTGCATCCCTTTCTTCTGCTGCTGCTCACCATCTGCTTTAGAGAGACTTCTCCTAGACTCTCCTTCGATTCCCATTTCAAAAAGGGGATCCCGGACCGGACGGTTCCAGTTTTTCCAGAGAGAGCTCTTCTCTGGAGCTACTGGCAGCACCGCAACAAAGCCCCACCTCTTACTTTCAGTGACTGTTGAAGACCTATCTTTTAAGGCAGGCTTTTAAGAAGCATATTGTATAGGAATTAGACCATTTTGGATGCTGGGCATATGTTTGTTAAAGTCTGTTTTTGCAGCTGTTTTGATTTTAGTTAATTCTTGTTTAATTAATTAATTCATGTTCAATTCTTTATTAAATTTGCAATTTATAGTGTTTTAGCCCAACTTGTTTCATTCATTTGTGAGCCGCCTTGGATTCTCTTACAGAGAGAAAAACAGCACAGCACTAAAATACACCAATATTTGCTAGCCGTTGTTCCTGGGGGGGGGCGGGGGAGTCTAGTGTGCATACATTTCAAAAATCTTAAGTAAACAAAAATAGTGAAGTAAAATGTTTGTTAAGATAATACTGATTGAAATTAGACTTCTTTTACAGATAGCATCATTTAATGTGAACTACTCTGATTCTGGACTATTTGGCTTTTACACCATTTGCAAGGATTCAGCTGCTGGAGAGGTACGTTACTGATTACTATTAATGTGCACAAATCAGGAAACATTCTTCTGAGGTTTTGAGAATCATTGATTTCTCGCTATATGGTTTAGTAAAGAAATGATGTATTTCTGACATCACTTAAATCAAGAATGAACTTTATTGTAAGCTGCTTGGAAACCCTACAGCTGGAAATATGGGATTGTTAAACAGATAGGATTTGCAAAAAGCAGTGGAAAAGCTTGGGTGTTTTTCTTTCCAACAGTCCAGACCCTAAGTGAGCAACCATCATTAACCAAATGTGACTGTGAATTTATGAAGCATTATATGTGGAGGCTGCACTTGGCCTGTGACTTGAATTTAGAGTTCATTTGAGATGCAAGCCATGGCAAATCTGAAGCTGCCATGTCCTCCCCTGCCCCATTTTTATGGGCATAAAGGGGAAGAGAAGCATTTCATCTTAAACTAACCATAATTCAAGACCTAAGGAACTGTGCTTCGTTAAACTATAGTTAATGAGAACGAGCATGGTTTAAAAACTATAGCTACTCAAGTTTAGATTTCACGTGGAATAGTGCCTGGTTTACAGTGAAAATACAACACTTTCTCCTTTCAGGTAAAGGAAAAAAAAGATGGGGCAGTTGAGTGCTTGAGGCTGACTGGGCTATTTTCTTAGTGGGAAACTGGATGACCGTTAATGTCAGAACAAAAACGTCAAAGAATATGTATTGGTTTATCACTGAATAAAGATGTGTTAAAATTATGAAGACAATAGTCTCTTAGCGCTTATGGACTGGACGTGCATTATAATTCAGTGACATATCTTGAGGGGATGGTCTCTAATAATATAAATTCTAGGTATCTTTACTAGTTGAATAAATGTGGGGGTGGCTGATAGTGGACAATTCTGACTCCAGAAGTAAAACAGTTTTGTAATATTTGAATCAAGGTAATCAAGGCTGCTTTGAATCAAGTGAAGGCCATTTCCCAGGGTGGAGTAACTGATGCTGAAGTCACAATAGCCAAGTAAGTTGCCCTGCCACAGTTGTTTTCTTAATGGGACCATGACTTATTCATAATCTAAAGGTGCCAAATTGTTATAATTACCCCTTTTCTTCACTTCAGGCAAAAGTTCCTGATATCTAGAAAGGATGGTGTGCGTTTAAAAAAGCTGAACATGACTAAAGTGAGAGTTCTTAATTTCCAGTGTCTGTGAAACATGGTAATCATCTAGGACAAATTAAATGGCATTGGCATATTCAGAGGAAGGAAGTATAGCTCAGTAGTTGAGCCGATATTGTTCTGCAGAACGACCCAGATCCAGTCCCTGGCATCTTCCATTAAAAAGCACCAGGAACCAAGCGATGAATCCTCAGTGTGATGTAGTGGATAGAGTGTGGATTGAGACTCGGGAGGTCTGGGTACAAATCCCGACTCAGCAATAGAAGCTTACTGGGGGCATAGAATGGGTAAAGGTAAAGGTTCCCTTTGCCAGTTTGTCCAGTCATGTCCGACTCAAGGCGGCCGTGCTCATCTCCATTTCCAACCCATAGAGCTAGCGTTTGTCCGCAGACAATCCTCCGTGGTCACGTGGCCAGCATGACTAGACACGGAGCGCCGTTTACCTTCCCGCCGAGGTGGTATCTATTCATCTACTCGCATTTTTGCATTTTGCATGCTTTCAAACCGCTAGGTTGGCGGGAGCTGGGACAAGCAACGGGGGCTCACTCCGTCGCGTGGATTCGATCTGACGACTGCAGGTCTTCTGACCTTGCAGTACAGAGGCTTCTGCGGTTTAACCTGCAGCATCACCATTCCTAGTCACATGTAAATTACATGACTTGGCCTATGGCACGGAATGCAAACAGCAACACTTTAAATAGCAGTATTTTGCCATCACAGTTGATGCCTTCACACTTATATCATCATAAATCCATAATAGGCGACGGGGGCGCACTCCGTCGTGTGAATTCAATCTTATGACTACACGTCTTCTGACCTTGCAGCACAGAGGCTTCAGCGGACCCCACTTATTTCAAAAGCCCTGCTAGGGTTCCTGTAGGTCAGTTCTGAGTTGAAGGCACTTAACCACCACCACCAAGTGAGTTCTTTGTCAGAGAGCTGTATGTTGGGCTAGAATCTAGCCGCTGGATGGACAAAAAGGCAATTTTCCAAAGCAGCAGTTATAATCCCTTGACATTATATTTTTAAGAAAAGCAGCTGGGCACTCTAATTTATTCATTTATTTATTTTATTTATATCCCGCCTATCTGGTCGGGTCAGACTGTACATGATTTTACAAAATACATGATTGCAACATTTTTTCATGCATCTGTTTTTGCTGACATTTGTATTCTCATTTTTAAGAAAAGCAGCTGGGCACTCTAATGTATCTAAAATCTGTTTACTCTTAGATTGTCCATGTTGAATGGCCAATTGTTAGACTGTACATGATTTTACAGAATACATGATTGCAACATTTTTTTCATGCATCTGTTTTGCTGACATTTGTATTATATAAGCAAAATTGGATCTTTCTGCATGACTTTCTAATCAGATTGCTTTTTCCAGAGAATATTTCATAGTTTTCCAACAGTGTGAATGATGGTTATTTCAGTGTAACCTGTGGTTATGCGTGAATTACAGAAAAAAGTACATGTCAATATCAAATAGACAACAATAATAAATGTAATCCGCAGTACCATGTTTGCACAGACTGTAGGTTACCTTTCAGTGTTAATCCTGTGGTTCTGGTTTACATTGTGGTCTAAGAAATAATGTCAGCCATAAAGTGATAACTTCTTCTGAATGGGCAACGTGTTTGATAGCACAAATCTTATGGGACGTTGAACCTCAGATCAAAAAATTTCAGGTGAAGCATCAAGTTTTGAATGTGTGGGTGGGGAAAAGTAGTACAATACTTAAAAACAACTCACAGTTGTGTTTAAAAACAATCCATGAGTTTACTTACTTCTTTAAGGAGCTTCAAATGTGTTAGGTTTTAACCTTTCACAACTTAGAAATGTTCATCTTATTTATGGATGCTTGAGCATACTGCTCTACTCACCTTCTCTTCCTCCACTTCCCTTGACAGACAGCAGCTGAAAACATCTCTCTTTATGTCTCTTGAGTCCACGGAAGGTTTGCTTCATGAAATCGGCTCCCAGGCACTAGTATCCGGCACATACACATCGCCAGCTGCTGTGATTGACAAGATTGATTCTGTGGCTACTGCTGACATTGTGAATGTAAGTCATGTGCCTATAGATTATGTTACACCATTATCAGCAGCTGTCTTAAATAGCATTCTCTTTTTGCATTTAGAAAATAGGAAGGTAACTAGGGGAGCTATTCTGCAGCACTAAGTAAATAAGTTATTATCTCTTAAATTAGGTAGCAGTCTTCATAAGCTTAATATTGAGGCTCAGTCAATACCCTGCCTACAGAGGCGATGAGTATATCCCAGATACCGGGCTTTTCTACAGTAGCATCTAGATTCTGGAATTCATCCACAACTGCCAATTTGTGTACTGTTAACTTTGGGCACTAAGTAAAGCTATTCTCTTTGATCACATTTTCAGTGACATTTGACTGACAGCTGGTTGCATTTTAAATCTGGAGGCTAGCCTTGGCTGCTGGGTTTGTTCTTATCCTTGGTAGACTACTTTGGAGACCTAGATGTAGTAGAAAAAGGAAATAATTAATATTTTAAAATTAATATCAGTAATGATTTCCCATACAAAAGTTACCATTCTTTAACAGTTAAGACTCTAAAATATACCCATTATTTGATCCTTCACTAAAATGGACATATTTCTAAACTGGTCATTCTGCTCTGTGGACTTCAAATTATATTGGTAGCTCCTTATCTCCAGTCTTTCTGCTTTCTTTTTTAGGCTGCAAAGACGTTTGTTAATGGGAAGAAGTCAATGGCAGCCCGTGGGAACTTGATACATACCCCTTATCTTGATGAGCTGTAAAGAAATAAAACATGGAGACACAGCTTAAAATGGAAGGTTGCTCTCTAGTAGTTGCATTAACTGCTTCTGTTGTTCTACATTATTTATGAGTTCCTAATTTTCTGCATCTCTGTCTTACTCTGTTGATTTACTTAAACAGAATAAAGTGCAGATCTCATACTCTTAGAAGATTCCTGACATCTTTTTTTCCCCCTAGTCTTAAGACAATTAAAGCATTTTTCATGGCTCCCCCCTTGAGACAGTATATATTGCTTGGCATGGGCCAAGTAGCTTGAGCAGAGTCATGAGAAACTATGCTTCTAGGGTGAGTTGGAATGCTCTTGTTTATTCGTAAGGGACTGGGCTTGGAACTGAGGGGGACCTGTGTGCAGGGTCTCTGAGACCATTGGTTCAGCTTTTTTGCCTTGGGAGAGTCAGACACTTGCAGAAGTGTTCAGAGTGGGTGGTTCGGGAGCTGAATAGTGCCAGCTTCCACTCTGACCTTTAATCATGTTTCGCTAGCTGTCAGTCTCTTTAATCTTTCATTTAAGTACCACTTGGGAGAAAAGGGGGATACAAATAAAGGTAGACATTCTCCTGCATTATTTCTGCCTTTAAAGGTGAATATATAACTGTCACGATCCCCACGTGGCCCCTGCTTGTTTCTCCAAACTAATTGCTCACGCTACGTGTCTCAGCTGCCACCAGTTGATTACATCAACCTTGTTTATTATTAATTGCAGAGGTCCATCTTTTAATATGTCATTTTAAAAGAGCCAAATAAAAATTGTTTATTGTTGCAGATCATGATAGTTTCAAACAATGTTGTTAACAAACATCCTCCTTCATCCACTCTCAACCACCGCGCTCCTGCCCAAGCTCCAAAACTCTTCAGCTGTCTCTGAACTCTCAATCTCCCTCAAGTAATCTAAAACTCCCTATCTAAACCCCCCTCCTCCTGCTGAGTCTCTTATATCTTGTGACTCCGCTCCACCAGCACTCCTATTGGTCTATGCAGATAGCATATGAATATTCATGACCTGGACAGACCCAAACCCATGAAAATTGAGGGATCAGATAAAAAGTCTATTATCTTGCTGGAAGTAATTCATCCTTATTATAGTTTTTTAAAAATTTGTTCCTGTTATTTGTGATATGTACACATTTCAAGGAGAGTAGATGTGTGCAGGTATGTTGTAAAAACAGTTAAGAGTTGTGGTGCCGTGAAGAATTGAATGTTTTATTTGGCATATGTGAAGAAGCGGACTAAAGTCCATGAAAAGTGTATGCGAAATAAAATCTATTAATTATAAAGCAGCTTATTGAATTACTTTTTGCATTGATGATACTCCTTTCTGATACTTTAAAAAACACATGTAAGGCAAGAGAATGGCATTAAACTAAAAAAAATTACTAAAAATTATTGACATACCCTATTAAAGGTAACTTTGAAAAGTCTCTAGAAAATGTTATTCATTACATCAGCCAGTAAGGAGCACAGTTACTTCATTTCTACTTGTGTTACTTTTGGAGTATAACCCTACTACATCCACATTAACAAAAAGGGCAACTTCTCAACAGTAACCACGTTTCTTGTAACTTATCACTGCCAAGGTCTGCCCACCGTGAACCATCAGATACCTCTGGGAAGTCTGAGAGCAAGAGAGAAGGCAAGACCCACAGTTGCCCAATCCCCAAACAACTGCTACCCGGTGCCTGATTACAAACTTCCTTTTAGCTACCATGGCTTGGAAGTTCTCTAGGGCTCTTTTAAAACTGTGCTAAGCCAGTAGCTGCCACCACACCGCGTGGCACAGATCTCCATAATTTATAATTTGTGTCTCCTCTCTGTTGATCTGGCTCTGGTGGGTGACCTCCATGGGGTGGATGACCTCCTTCGGTCAGATGGCCTTCTTAGAACAGAAGACCTCCTTCGGTCAGATGGACTCCTTGGGACGGAAGACCTTCGGTCAGAGGGTCTCCTTGGAACAGAAGACCTTCGGTCAGATGCCGCCCTTGGGGTGGATGACCTCCTTCAGCCAGACCACTTCCTTGGGGTTGATGAACATCTAAAAGCTGATTCTCTTCTATAACATGACTTACAAAGCCTCAAAGGATTCTCTGTGTAACAACATGTAAATGCAGAAATATCTCTGCCACACCTTTTGGGAAGTGAGTACTCCAACCTGGGGTATCATGTGAGGGGAGAACAACTTGTAGGCAAGGTGACAATTATACCTAGTAACACTGGCACAGCGGGCTAAACCGCAGAAGCCTGTGCTGCAGGGTCAGAAGACCAAGCAGTCGTAAGATCGAATCCACGCGACGGAGTGAGCTCCCGTCGCTTGTCCCAGCTCCCACCAACCTAGCGGTTCAAAAGCATGCAAATGCAAGTAGATAAATAGGGACCACCTTGGTGGGAAGGTAATTTTGGGAAGTGAGTACTCCAACCTGGGGTGTCATCCAGTTGCCATGACTCAGCTTCCAAATAGCCTCACCTGGAGGACTGAGAAACTTCCCAGATACGCCTTTTAATGTTTGAATGTTTAATCCACCATTGTTCTGGGGGTGAAATAATGATTTAAACCACCCCCTTCTGTTGGTGGGCATATGGGCCTCCTATTTGTCTTGGATTATTCCTTTGGATAATTACAGTATGTGGATTCACTCCAGAGACAGAGGGGACACACAGTTGTGCCTTGGCTAAGACAAGGGGAATAGAAGTGGCCCCACTGGAAACGGGGATGAGCACCGCCCCCTAGAGTCGAACACGACTGGACAACAATTGTCAAGGGAAACCTTTACCTTTAACAGTTTAGAATCCCAGTGCTGTTGAGTTCCAAGCCTCATGGAACCACCAACGATGTGAAGGTCAGAACCTGGCTTGAGAGATGCACTACCCCTTTTAATTTGGTAAGTTGCATCATGAAAACCAGACTTCTTTCTTATTAGGTTGAAAGGTTTTGCTGCTCATCTAAGTAGCTTCTTCAGCTACTTGGATGAGTAGCAAAACGTTTGAACCTAATAAGAAATAAATCCAGTTGCCATGACTCAGCTTCCAAATAGCCTCACCTGGAGGACTGAGAAACTTCCCAGATACGCCTTTTAATGTTTGAATGTTTAATCCACCATTGTTCTGGGGGTGAAATAATGATTTAAACCACCCCCTTCTGTTGGTGGGCATATGGGCCTCCTATCTGTCTTAGATTATTCCTTTGGATAATTATGTGGATTCACTCCAGAAACAGAAAGGACACACAGTTGTGCCTTGGCTAAGACAAGGGGAATAGAAGTGGCCCCACTTGGTACTGCTGCCAGTCTCCCTTGCTACCTGATTATTTTCAAACTAGGACTGAGCCTAAGGCCTCCTGCCAACAAAGCTTGTACTCTGTCACACTGAACAGGGGTTCCTTCCTGTTAACTCTTTCTCAAAACGAAGCTTTGAAACAGTTCCTCCCCATCGTCGCACTTTAAAATCAGAAGTGAACCTAACAGTGGGGGAGAAACTGCTTCAGAGAGCAATCATTTTCAAGGAAGAATCAGTGGGTGTAGAGGGGATTAAATAAACCTTCCTCCTGCAGATTCTTCCTTTTAACTGTCCTTTTGTCCTATTTGCTAAAAAAAAGCACACCAGTATTATTCGACTATAGGAAAGTTGGCCTATGATTATGTCTTGAAAGTTACAGTCTTGTACCCTACAATTTGTAATTGTTCTGGGGGTGAAATAATGATTTAAACCACCCCCTTCTGTTGGTGGGCATATGGGCCTCCTATCTGTCTTAGATTATTCCTTTGGATAATTATGTGGATTCACTCCAGAAACAGAAAGGACACACAGTTGTGCCTTGGCTAAGACAAGGGGAATAGAAGTGGCCCCACTTGGTACTGCTGCCAGTCTCCCTTGCTACCTGATTATTTTCAAACTAGGACTGAGCCTAAGGCCTCCTGCCAACAAAGCTTGTACTCTGTCACACTGAACAGGGGTTCCTTCCTGTTAACTCTTTCTCAAAACGAAGCTTTGAAACAGTTCCTCCCCATCGTCACACTTTAAAATCAGAAGTGAACCTAACAGTGGGGGAGAAACTGCTTCAGAGAGCAATCATTTTCAAGGAAGAATCAGTGGGTGTAGAGGGGATTAAATAAACCTTCCTCCTGCAGATTCTTCCTTTTAACTGTCCTTTTGTCCTATTTGCTAAAAAAACACACACCAGTATTATTCGACTATAGGAAAGTTGGCCTATGATTATGTCTTGAAAGTTACAGTCTTGTACTATAGAATGGTCTGAAAATAAACTACTGTACATACACAGTCCTCACTAAAATATCACATGATAACATTGTTATCATGTTATGGGTATGGAACTTCAAGACGCCCATTGGAAGGAAGGGGTGTTGCTATGGTTAGATGTATTTTCAGAATTCTTACAACTCTGTGGCTTTGGAGTTGCTAGAATTGGCAGTCTAAAATACCAGTTGTTGGTCAACCATCCTATACCACTGGTTGCATATAGAGTAGGTTTCGATTTCTGGCCCCTTGCATTTAGCTGAAAAGATGGACAAGAAGAGCAGTACATGGTATACGTAGCTAGGAGACTCCTTTTAAAAATATATTTATTGAGCCCCATTTGGTAATACATTTAATAACTGTGGCCAGAATATTATATGCACGGAAATGGAAGAAAACAATACCAATCCATGAAGAATTTATGGAAAAAATTATGGAAGTGGTGGAGATGGACATATTAACAGAAGCTTTGAAAGACAATTC